TGTTTTCCTGCATGCTTGTACTCCTGAGTCTTGTTGTTTGAGGCTTCTGTTTCTTCCGACAATCTATAGCTTTATGGCCCGCTTCTCCGCAATATAAACACAAGTTTTGTTCAAACCGTCGCTTCCTTTCCTCAGCTGTGAGGGGTTTGAAACGTACCGCATCAATTTGCATGGATTCAGGATCTGTGGAGTGATTCTCTGGACCTTTTGAAAATGTAGCAAATGCTCCATCATTTCTCCAGCCTGATCGTCTTTCTTGTCGTAATTCAAAGAGGTGGTTGTCACAAATAATTGCCTGAGATATAAGTTCTTCTAAAGTATCCGCCTTAGGCATGGTGATCAATAAGTTCTTGACATCATCTCTCAGTCCATATCGAAATCGTGTCATGAACGCCTTATCATTCCAATCAAGATCACATGTAAGCTGTTGAAATTCTGTAGCATAGATTGCAGCAGAACGTGATCCTTGTCGCAGATTTTGTATCTTTCTTTCAGCCACTCTTTCTCGATCGCTATCTCCAAACGAAGTAGTAAGTCTCTCTATGAAAGCCTCTAGGTCGTACAATATTGGAGAATCCTTCTCCAATAGTGGAGCAAACTAAGAGCGAGCAACTCTGATAGAAGAGTACCTATGAAAGCAACCTGGGTAAATCCATTCGGATAACGAGAAGGGTATAGGCGTAGGTAAAGCCATACTTGTTGCACAAAACCTTGAAAGTTGGCTCTTGTTCCGTCACACTTGTCTGGCATACTCGCTTTTGGTTCTTTCGTACTAATCTTTGAAGTATCTATAGGGGTCGTATATGACACATGTCTTGCTTCTCTCAGTCGAATAATCTCTTGTTGTAGGCTATGAATTTTGCGTCTAGCTTCTTCGGACATTAGATCAATTTGAGGTTCTTTACTTGGATTGCGAAGAAATGTAATCTCCTTTCGTATACTATTCATAAGAGCTTGAAGATCTGCAAGAGTTGCCACTCTATTGTCTACTTGTTGAGATGCATTGTCTATGACCTGGTCTACTTCCATATTTAGAGAATAGATGGATTAAAATTTTGAGAGAAGAAGAAATTGCTAAGTCTCTTGGAAAAAATTGTAGCACTACCTGTCACTAAAACCTACTCGGAGAAGAGAAAAGAAAAAAAAACACTAAACGATTTCAGTTTTAGAGGAGGGTAATCCGCAACCTCTAAAAATGCCTCAATGCTTTCGAGAAGAGTGGTAATCCGCACTCTATCAAGAAGGCAAAGCTCTGAAATCGATGTTAACAGTCTTTTCTACTAGCTATGCTAAACAAAAAGAAGGAATTAATATCAGTCCAAGAGAGGGTAATCCGCAACCCTTAGAACGCTCAAGTATCTCCAAGGAAAGGGGTAGTCCACTCTCTGCCTCAAAGAACTAAGCTCTGATATTGTGATTGAGAAAATATCAGTTTAGAGGAAGGTAATCCGCAACCCCTAAAGCGCTAGAATACCTTCAAGAAGAGGGATAATCCGCTCTCAAACAAGAAGGATTCAGCTCTGATATTAAGATAAAGGTAGTCTCGATAAACTGTCACGGACCAAAAATACAAACAAGAAATCTAAACAAGAAGTTCAAGAAGAAATGACAAGAACTAGATAATCAGATGAGTACAAGAGTAACGCTAGGAGAATTGAGCTAGAGCTTCAAGAGATGCGTTGTCGAGACTGAAGAACTCTTCAGCCTCGATTCCTATATATATTATTGGCCTATGGTTCTAAGGAAGCGCATCAAGAAGCTTCCCAAGAACTATGAAGCTTCTCGAGCAACTACCCAAGAGCTAGGAAGCTTCTCAAGTAACTTCCTAGAATCTACTAGAATATTCTAAGAATCTTCTAGAGCCTTCTAAAGGAATCTTTAGAGAATCTTCAAAGAATCTTTAGTGAATCTTTGAAGAATATTCTAAGAGAATATTCAAGGAATCTTCTAGAAGTTTCTAGAGACTTCTTTCTAGAAGGTTCTAGAAACTTGTCTCTAGAAAGGTCTAAGGACTATGTCCCTAACACTAAGTTAATTGCATCCAAGACTTACTGAGATCCTATTTCTATAACTAATATTTTAATTTTCTATTTTTCTAAGGATTTCTACACTATTCACCATATATTGTGGTTTTAAGCACTTTAAATATATCTTTTTATTTTAAAATAACCAATGAATTGATTTGATGACTCACACTTTTATATCAATTTCTACCATAATGGAGTCAATTCTAATGGCTTGCACCAAATTTTTATAGCTAGAATTGCTTCATAAGTGTCATATGTTTACTTCTATGGTATCATGTGCTTAGTAGTATCCAAATCTATAATCTATATAGACATGGCAACTATGGAGGCTCTTTTACTTGCCATGAAAGTATAATCATTTTTATCAAAACTATCATAAGCATTATTTATATTCTCTCTATTTTTTTTCTTCATCTTGTAGTAATTTTTTACAAAGTGACTTAATTTTCTACAAATATAAAAAATATATATATTATTTTTTGAATTATCATATTGGTGAGAATAGCTATCTTTGACTTGTCTTGAAAATAAAGCCAAATCTTGACTTTGAAGCATTTTTTTTCCTCTTAATTACTTCATAGATAAGTCTTAATACAATATAATTTATGATAAGCTCTTTTATGTTAATAGATTCAAATTCCACAATGAAGTAGTTGTAAGATTCTAAAATATCCATCAATAATGTCAACACAATTTTTTTTATCATCAAATAGTTTATTAATAATTGCTAATTGGTTTGCAAGTCTTTTTACCTTCTTTATATGAGCCATGAAGTCACTCCTTCTTCCATCTTTACTATTAAGAATTTCATCCTTGCCTAAATAAATTCTTAGTAGGTTTCTACTCTTTTAAATATTACAAAGAATCTTCTATATTTTTGCTAATTTATTGCAAGCAATTACATGTGAAAAGTTAGTATCATTAAGATTTATTGTAATCATCCCAAAAGGTTTTTTTTTATGATGTTTATACTCTTTTTTCACCTTGACATTGATATTATTACTTAGAAGCTCTTTATTTTCATCAATAATGTTTCAAAGATCCAATGAAACTAACAAAAGTTCCATTTTCTTCTTCTAATGGTAGAAATTATCATTTCTAAACTTCTCAATGATTTTCAAGTCTTTACTCTCACTTGTTGCCATATCTAAAAAAGAGAAATATTAAAGAAAATAAAAAAAAGAAATAGAGCTCTCAAAATCAATAAGAAGATGTTATTGCCTTAAAAATCCAAAATACCCTCTTTATAAATAAACTAATGATTTCATTCTTTAATCACTTTTAATTTTAGTTAAAAGACTTTTTACAAGTCTTATATTCTATTTTAATCTTTTGTATAAGTTTTGCTTGTTTTTAATTGCTTCTAATATCAAATAACACTTCTTATCTTACAAAATACTTCTTAGCATTATAAGAATATATTTTAAGAACTTAAACACATGAAAGTACATTATTAGTATACCAATGATATAACATAGCAAAGAAATATAATACTAGTACCTTAAAAAATCATTCTAAGGTATTTAAAAATCTTCAAGACCATGATTGCATACAATAATAAATAAGAAAAAAACTATATTAATAATTAAATGCAAAAGTAGGATTAGATGATATTAAATCCTAATATTATTAATAACTATAAGATCTACTCATCACAACATAAAGGACTTCAAAGAACTTCAAAATTCACAACTAAAAGGTAAGTGGAACCATAACCTATTAAAAAAAAAGAATTTTGAAGTCACAACACATAGCATTAGTAAAGTGGCATATAAAGAAAGTATAGAATAAGATGTTTCTTACTTCTATTATCCATTATTTTGTAGGTGGTAGTTGCTATCTTAAAAGATAACTTTTACTCTTTAATTTTTACATACATGGTCATAAGATCCTTTAGCATCTAACTTACTACAAGAATATCCTATAGTCCTTAGATTCATTAGCATCAAATTTACTACAAGGATATTCTATAGTCATTACATCCTTTGGCATCTTAGTAACTACAAGGGTATCCTATGCTCAATATTAATTATTCTTACATGATCTTTAGATATTTTTTAGTTGATACTTTATCCTATTGGTTTTGACTCTTGGTCCTTGACCTCATCTTACTTCTATAGGATGTCTTTTCTATATATTAAGAGTCAATCCTTTGACCATTAATAACTTACCTAAAATAATATCCTCTATAAGATTACTTATTCTACTTTCATTTTTACTTTCTTATTCTAACACAAAAATTATAGCCAAGTATATTTATTTTGAGCAAGAAGTTAGTCATGATTATTGGGAGCCACAATTGTTTATCAAATCAAAAAACAAACACACATTGATATGAAATCTTATACATGTATGTATGTATGTGTATTTATATACATATATATTAAATTTCCAAGTAAGTATACTTTGGTTGTTGTGGATCAAGGTCATCTTGTTTTCGTAAAATTCTAACTCTGGTATTTGAAGATTTATGGATTGAATCTACCAAATCCCTAAGATCGCCCGCTACCTAGCCTGCCAGTGGGCGGATCAGGGGGGCAAGCGGGCAGGATGAAGGGGTCGGGTAGAACCGAAACCCTAGTCAAGGATGGATGTTCATTTAAATGACACCCGCCCGGATCTGGGTGTGATTCCGGGTCTCAGCCGGGTACGAGGGGGTTGGGAAGCTCCTTGAGTAAAACTTACATGGGGAATCTGAACAGGGAACGGTTCGATTAGAGAGAGCCCTCATCTAGTTTTAGATCCTCCGCGATTTTCCAGATATTTTCCCTAAAGCACGAACGTCCCACGTGGTCAGATCCTCTCCTCCACTCCCGGATGGACACCTGGGAGCCCGTGTTATTTCTCAAGATAAGCTATCGCAAGCTGTGCGTTCCCTTCTTGTTCCCTTCTCGTTCTCCCATGGTTCTCACGTCGTCGTGCCAAGCTCCGCAGCTTTGTGCGGCGAACCATAAAAGCTCGTGACACTAATTCGGGGGCCCGGTCATGGCATCACCACCTTGTGTTGTTGACTCGGACTGGGTGGCGGAGCCTTTGGTATACACCACCTCTTTATCTAATTGTGGAGTTTCGTTTCGAGTAGACGATTTTCCTTCGAGCAATCCTGTGTGCGATCTCGATGCCGAGCACGTGCACCTGGTGACCTGAATCTCACGTATCGTTCCATCGCACCTCCAATTAACCACGGAACTGTTTTGTCATTTATGGACTTAAGTGGAGTCGCGGAAAGTAGATGAGTTTACCGCAGGGCGATTTCGGAGAGTGGCAGCCAGCGGAAGGGGTAGATCGTAACAAGATCGCGGTAACTGTGTGTTTGATTGCTTGAAGTTTACTGAGACTGGCTTTCGCGTCGGCATCATCCTCATCTCCACTATGCTTGGCGACGCTGGCTCAAGGTGCTGCCCAAGGCCCTGGTGGCTACTCCAGAGGCCACAGGTCAGCTTCGTCCCCGCTCGGAGGTGGTTATTCCGGCGCGGCATCTTCTTGCAGTGCCGACGAAAACTTGGTTGCATCTTTTGGTTCGAATTTGCGCGGCAACGGTGAAGGATAGTCTCGGCGTGGTCACTGTGACTGAGTGTGTCGATTCAATGCACTGCGCAGCTGTGGTGGAGCGTTGTGTTTTTTGTATTGGATGTTTGGAGAAGTTAGTAGGATGATTCGTATTGTGTTTTCCGAAGTTTCTGAGACTCGGTTGAAGCTGGAGGAAGCAAATGTTTATTTATGTGTTCTTTCGGAGGCAGAATTTGGGTCCGACTGATGGGGTCTGACTGCTTGGAGGTTGGTGATGGGGAGGACGTGGTTTCTAGCAGACCAAGTTTGGCGCTGGAAGTATCTGAGTCTGTTTGAGTAGCTGCAGCTGTGGTGTTTTGGTGTGCGCGCTTTGGGAGACGTGGTAAATAAGATAGTGCTGGATGCATTATTGAGCAAGCGGGGTTTTAGAGCCGAGAGATCCCGGAAGCTTGCTTCAAGTACTGGCATTTTGCATCGCAAGATATCTGGCGTATGATTCTTTTTCGAAGAACTTCTACCCCTTCGTGACTGGTACCGGCTCCTTAGGGTTTTCGCTATTCTTACGGATACTTTGTGGATAATGTGGTCTGCGGGGAAACTTTCTTGGCGAAGAGTCAAGAAAGAAGCGGGATCCTCTTCTGCTCGGAGTATTGTTGAATATGTCTGACCACGGAAGGTGTATTGTAGCTATTTGCAGAGCGCAAGTAAGGAAATGTTTTGTGTTAAGGAATTAGATATGGGAGGAATGCCTTGAGTATTATCGCCCGCATCCTTCGTTTAGATTTGGTTTTCAGCTGGCGTAAACACGTGCTGAGACCCTTGGCTATGGCAAGTTGTTGTCACGAATTGAAGCTTTGACAGGAAACCAACCGGTGGGGTGAGGATGGAGGGAGGAGGTCCTTTCACCCAGGGTTCAGCAGGACCTCATGTTCCCTCCGTAGCAGAGGTTAAGCAAGAACCAAGGACGGGCTCCTGGTCGTCTGAGGACAATAAATATGAGGTAGCAATGGCAACAAAGCCGGCCCTGGACAAGGATTTTCTCTGCCCTATTTGCATTCAAACTATGAAGGACGCCTTCTTGACTGCATGCGGACACAGCTTCTGTTACACGTGTATTATGACACATTTAAGCAATAAGAGTAATTGTCCTTGCTGCGGATTGTACCTTACCAACAATCAACTGTTCCCGAATTTTTTATTAAACAAGGTGAGAGTGTGCCCTCGACTGTAGTCATTTACTCCACCTTTGGTTAAATGCTGCTTAGTTTGAGTGAGATCTAGCGACGTCGTCATTCTAGTTATAGTATGATGGAGCTTATAATTGGAATGTTTCTCTTTACTAGTGATGAAATGGACTCAATTTTTATTTGTAAGCCCAGCTCAAAAAGGAACTTATCACATTGCTTACACCTGGAATTACATGGTACAGTTGCTGGGAAAGGCGTCCGCTTCTCACCTTGTCAGCAATGCATCGCCAGCTGAGAATTTACGACTTGCCCTACAGCAGGTATGTTGTCCGCTCGCTCTTTCATTTATTTTTATTTACATCGTTTCCCTTTTACTTTTCCTCCCAAATGGTACCCATCTGTCCAGAAATTTTGAGGGGCTACGTTTTAACAAGATGTGTATTGAATACGCATCAGATTAGACAGAAATGCATGCTTTTGTAGCTTGTTGTGTGTCCAATGGCACAACATTAGCGTTTACAATTTCTCGCTTCCGTATCAGGGTGTGGATTTACCTGTAAAAGAGTTGGATTCATTGATGCGCTTACTGTCGGAGAAAAAACGGAAGGCCGAACAAGAAGAAGCCGAAACCAATATGGAGATTTTACTGGAGTTTTTACATCGGTCTCGGCAACAGAAGCAAGAGGAGCTTAGTCTTGTAAGAGCTTAACCATATGGAGAATATTCAATTTATGAAGAACATGATGTCTGTTGAAGATGTGTTGCCACTGTTGTACACGAATTGCGTCTGTGATTTTGGCAGGACAAAGCATTCTACTTGGATCTGGTCTTCATCCATATAAACGTGTCTCTTACCCTAAATTGCAATTTGTAGCACCTGTCTGATGCATTTAATTAATTAGTACATTCATTATTAACTTAAGACTTGTGTACATGTAGTTACAAGGAGACCTTCAGTTTCTTAAAGAAGATATCATTACCGTGGAGAAGCAGCGTCAAGACTTGCTGCGTGCCAAGGAGAAATATGCTCTGAAGATTCGCATGATTGGGGATGGACCATCGACCTCTATGCCGGATACATTAGCGGCATGCGAAAAGACAAGTAAGAGTGGAGTCACTTCTCAGAAACGAGGTGGTCAGGGTGGTGCATCAGTTCCATCTACTTTGCTCACCAGCCTCAGTATGGATTACAGAGGACGTGAAGCTTCAACTGGAACGTATAAGGCGATGGTAGGTGGAGGTGTATCTTCTGGCAAGAATCAATTAGATTCGCAAGGTTTAGCACCCTCACCAGCGGTGATGACAATGGCAAAAAAACGCCGTGTGGTGGCTCAGGTAAAACTACCCAGATGGTTGTAGTTTTTTCACGAACCTCACAGATATTTGAGGCAGGACACTTTGAGCTATGTGGTGTAGTTTTATATTTTGGCTACCGGACAGTTGCTGCCCAATTATTAACTTAACCAGTTTTATGTTTCGACCCGTTAGTTTGCAAGGAAGATGGATTAATTAGGCTTAAAAATTGTGGGCTTTGGCCGAGGTTGACATTTTTCTGGAAGCGCGTAGCGTGCTATTCATTTCCTTTCATGTCCTTAGTAGTTACAGTAATAATCTGTTCGATTTGATGCTTAACAGCATTGGTTCCGTTTTCTAATATTCTTGTTTTTTTGTGATGATTGTAGTTCGAGGATTTGCAAGAAGCTTATTTACAGCGCAGAAGAAAAGTAGCACAAGTTCAACGTCAAAAACAAAATGTGAATGAGGCGATTGTGCGCAAGGATGAAGAGGTCCATTCTGCAGGTTCCGATCGGTACTGTTCCGGTTTAAATGATTTCCAGTCCGTTCTCACTGCATTCACACGCTACAGGTATGTCGCTCTTTGCCTTTTCAATGGTTGATAAGTCCTACAGATTTATGAATCCTTGCTCTGAGTTCTTACTTTTTGAGTGCTAGGGTTCCAGTCCTTTAGACTTGTGAGTAGATAAAGTGGATCTTATTTGATCGTATGTAATTCTGCTGTTGGGATTTCATCGAGATCTATTCTGTAAAATTGTCCGATTAGTGTGCCGCTTTTTTGATGTGCAATGATGCCAATATGGCTGTATCGTTCTTTTGTGCAGTCGACTGCGTGTAATTGCAGAGTTACGGCACGGAGATTTATTTCATTCTTCAAATATTGTTTCAAGGTAGGACTGTTTGGAGTAGGCTGACACCATTAAACAACGTTGGTTTTTGGGATCGACTTCCATTTCTTATCTCCAGTATAACATTCTTCGCAGTGTCCGAGCTGTAGTATCGTTTATACTTTAAAAATAAGTTGAGCAGCCTAAGAAAGTAGTTCATTTATATCCACGTGTGCGATTAGTTTACCTTCTGATTTGTAACTTGTTGAAAATTCCTCATCTGTAAACTGACAGTGGCAGTACTGCTTGTGCAGCATTGAGTTTGATAGGGATGATCAGTTGTTTGCAACAGCTGGAGTTTCAAGGCGGATTAAAGTTTTTGAATTTGCAACAGTATGTTTTCTTTCTTAAGATAGCTATGTCCTTAATATCGACTTCTCGTTTTGAGGTGCCCTTGAATTATTATGCTCAAATGCTTAATGCCCGTATTTTTATTTTCGAGGAATATCACATTGAAGTATTGTAGTAAGAGCGACGCACAAGTGTATCTTGAATCGCAGTTGTGAATGCAAGGCCTCGTAACCTTCTATTAAGTTGCTGATTATGTTAATTTTGACCCAATTGCTTGTTTTGTAAATGTTTTCAGGTTGTCAATGAGTTGGCTGATGTCCACTGTCCAGTGGTGGAAATGTCAACTAGGTCAAAATTAAGCTGCCTTAGTTGGAACAAATACATCAATTCACATATCGCTAGCAGTGATTATGAGGGGATTATTACTGTCTGGGATGTTAATACGCATCAGGTCTGTCCCTCATTTTGATGACGTTAAGTTGAAGTTACCACCCCTTGAATTATTTTTTTGTGTATGTTGGTCTGTTTGAAGTTCACTTCTAGTTAATGTGCGGTGAATGGCCAGGGATTTGACTTCAAATTTTTTTTACAGAGCATTATGGAATATGAGGAGCATGAAAAGAGGGCCTGGAGTGTGGATTTTTCACGAACTGATCCGACCATGCTAGTCTCGGGAAGTGATGATGGCAAGGTAACCTGTTGAAATCTGGTGAACTTAATCACTCTTGTACTTGATGCGGTTCTGTTTTTCAAGCTTTTTCAAACTCAGGTTATTTGGAGTTTTCCGCATCATGTTTAATATGCGGTTGATCCGAAATGTTTTTATGTTACTGTTTGCAGGTGAAGATATGGTGCACGAGGCAAGAGTCAAGCGTGATAAATATAGACATGAAGGCAAATATTTGCTGTGTGAAGTATAATCCTGGATCAAGCAGCTATGTTGCAGTAAGATCCTCATTCCTCCAAAATGACTCATGTCAGTATCCATTTGTACCCTCATTTAATAGTGGTCTACTGGATCTTTGATTTTCCAACATGTATACCTTGGGTTTGTGCTATTACCTTAGATTGTGGATTTCATCTGGTTGCAGGTTGGTTCTGCGGATCATCACATTCATTATTTTGATGTGCGCAATTCTCATATGCCCCTGTATATGTTCAATGGGCACCGAAAAGCTGTTTCGTATGTTAAGTTCTTATCTCCAACAGAGTTGGCTTCTGCATCCACCGACAGCACTTTACGTCTTTGGGATGTTAAAGATAACTGCCCGGTACGCTACATTCATCATAAGTACATACTCGTGATTATCTTTCAGGAGTGTTAGTTATGAAGACGATTCGGTATGCCGGGTCAATCTATGATGCATTTACAGCGTATTCTGAAAATTTTGAAGATGTACTACAATCTCTATGTAGCACAGGTCGGGCTTCTCTTTGTTGAGTATTGGTTATGTACGATAATTCTTGCGTAAAGGCTATTCAACTGAGATTAGGCATTCTGGGTACAGACAAGGACACTGAAAGGACACACCAATGAAAAGAACTTTGTTGGATTGACTGTCAACAGCGAATACATCGCCTGTGGCAGTGAAACGAACGAGGTGTTTGTGTATCATAAGGTATTGTCCTGATTGTATGTTCTGGTTTTAATTTAGAATTTACATGACGTTTCGTGTTTTTTAGAACTCGGTTTTGTATACATGAGGCAAAGTGAAATTTAGTATAGGTGGTTCTTTTTGAATAATTGGGCTAGGGTTCTATGTTTTATTCTGATCTCATATAACTTTCAGAGTATTACAATTTGAGACCGTAGTTCACCTTGTGCCATTTTATATTTGATCTATGATTTGTTCGGGCTGTCAGAATGTATTGTCCTTACTTTATGTTTTGTAGCTTTTACGTTGGAATTCCGAAGCATGTATTTCGGGGTAGAGTATGCTGAACTTGTTTCTTTGTCTGTAGGCCATGTCTAAACCGGCATCTTGGCATAGGTTTGGATCTCAAGACGCTGAGGAGAGTGATGATGATACCTCTCACTTCATAAGTGCTGTGTGCTGGAAAAGCGAGAGCCCTACCATGCTTGCAGCCAACTCTCAAGGCACAATCAAAGTCTTGGTCCTTGCTCCCTGACTACTTAACCTCTAATTTCACAACTATCCGTCCAGGCTATGAGCTGAAGGTTACAGGTTACAAGTTGCAACGACGTCAAATGTTTTAGTAGAGAAGCATATCCCATTTTTTGAGTGGTTCTTGTATTTTACCCTCTGGTTCTTACCCGTGAATGTTGCATAAGTTTATCTATCCTGGGGAGCCGCATTTGACATGCGGCACAGCTTGACAGGTTCTTGCAACTCACCTTCAATAGGTTTTTTTCGCGATAAATGCTAGTGTGGTGTGAACTGCGATTGCTGAGACTTTTGTTGGGAACTTATTTTCCCCTTTTTTCGCGATAAATGCTAGTGTGGTCCATATATTCTCTCATTCAGATGTCGCTGTCATCAGCCCACATTGCTATTAGTTCATGGAATATAAGGAATTGGTTGTCCTAGACAGCAACTCTGGTGAGTGAAGTTAGGCGATTTCTCTTATACTAAAGCTGCCAGGTAGTACAGTTGTTGGTTGGAGGATGCGATTCCAGTACTTTGGAATGGATGCTTAATATGTAGTCAAGTACTCTTTGTATTAGTTTGATGCAGCAGCAATCAGTTAAGTGTCTTCAGGAAATTTGGAGCCTTCTTTAAGGAGCTGCTGAAGGTTTCTGATTCTAGATGCCAGAATATTTCCCATGATGTATCATCTTGTCATGATCTGTAAAGGCTCGAAGCTTACATTTAATTCAATGGTGAACTAGTGATCTTTCTTGTACTTATTCGTGCAGGTTCATGGTAAAATTTTAAGTTCTCACGAGTCTCCAGTAGATATCCATATATTTCAGGACTGATTTGAACCATCCTTAAAAATTTTGGTCAGTGTTTGCTGCTTGTATAGTCTTGCGCTCTAGTGCGTATAAAAATAACTAGAGGGCAGTTGGAATTCTAATTGTACATAATGATAAACTCTCTGGTGATTTGCACATCTTTATAAAGGCCGCTGGGGTTCTGGAATGATTACTGTCTTTACCATCACATTTGTGGAAGGAGGCTTCAGTCGTGATTCTCATGCAGCGCCACGCTCTCTACATCCTGGCATTGTGGCGTAAACTGTGCGATATGAACAATTGTACTCGAAACACATTCAAGCGACTTAGCTAAACGACCACTACAAAAAAGCTATGTGGGTTACCAAATACATCAGGAGAATTTTTTCACTCGATTCGACTTCATGTTGCAACCTTGTTGCTGACCATTTAGTTAAAGTAATCAGTTACCAACTACCAACCAGGGAGTTCGAGTTTTATCTGATTGAGGGCATTGGTGGAGGAATATGGATCGAGATTTCTTGATTTGAAATTATGTGGTCTCTATTAGAGTAGATTGGACCATTCATGCCACTTTTTGATACTTGAAAGTTGTCCTCAAAATGAAGATTGAATAGGAATAAATGTATAAAGAATGGAATGGAGATACCTTATAACAAGATCCCTTCAAATGTGGCTTACACCACATTTATCACCACATTTATCTTGAATCAATTAATTGTGGTTCTTTAGGAAATACATATGTTATAAAATATGGTTTATGTATAAATTATTGGAAAATATTATATATACCCTTCAAATATGCTAGAATATCAAGAATATCCTTACATTCTTGATAATAGCAAATGTATCCTTTATAGTGATATTCTATCATACATGAGGGGCACATTTGCTATCATTAAGAATATAAACACATTTTTGATATTTCAAGATATTTGAAGGATATATATATATATATATATATATGATACTTTTTCTTCTAAGTATTGGCTCAAAGCTATAGTTGTCCTTAAACCAAAGTAGACTTGCTTAATATAACTTGCTACTAGGAGATGCGATGAATTAAGTGTTCATTTACTGCACTCAACTTCAATACATATTGAAATGCAAGTTGCATAAGATTCTCCACAAACTACATTATTCTCATTTGAAAATTGCAAGATGGTTTAACATCTACATTTTTCCTATTTTAAGGCACATTCTATTATTACATCCCCAACTAAAACAAATGTGCTCAATCCTTGTTTCTTTTGAAATATACTAGGCAATAGCCTAGGAATTATAACATCCACTAACTGAGCAAGTGTGTGTTGCTTCCTAACCATGGTTTTATTAATTAAACATCGCAATTTAGATAGCAAAGACAACACAAGGGAGAAGGGATTGGTAAGACAACCAAGAAAAAAGGAAAGAGTAGGATTTGGTGATGGAGCTTGATTCACAAAATAACAAAACTATATTTCACTTTGATTTCTATTCATTTCTTACTTGTAAGTTGTATAAATTGCCTTGAGAATCCAACACCACAATCCACACATCTCCAAAGCTTTGCTTATTGTATTCCCTTTTGTGCCTTTCTTCACTAAGCTATGAAAGTAAACAAAAGCCAAAACACAAAAATAAAAAGTAGTATAGCTTATTCATCTATCTTCTATAGATGAATGTTTCATAGAACCTATGATAAATCTAGAGATTTTCCTTAGGAAACATATCATATATATCCTTCAAATATACTAAATTATCAAGAATATTCATGAATTCTTGATAATAACAAATATATCTCTTATATATGATAGAATATCATTATGAGGGATATATTTGCTATCATAAAAAATGCAAGGTATACATTTGCTATTATCAAGAATATAGGATATTTTAGCATATTTGAAAGGTATATATATATATATATATATATATATATATATAGTTTTCCTAAATTTTATTAAATGATTGAAATAAAAATTTATTTTTAGTAATATCATTTATGTTTCAACTTATATGATTTGTATTTTTTAAATTTTTTTTTGCTTAGAATATCTATGAATAAAAGATTGTATATTACTCTTAATTTTTTTGATTAATTAGATAAATTTTAATACAAAAGAATAGCTCTCACCAAAAAAAAAAATTGGATCCTTAAAACATCAACAAATTTATGATTATGTAGTGCTCTAAGCTAATGTATGATTACATGAAATATTTTTGATGAAATTTTATTTTGTGAGAGTTGCATAGTGATATCAAAAGTAATACAAAAAATAATGTTAAAAAAAGATATTTTTGTGTTATAGAATGGCTATTGGATGTAAGAAAAAACAAAGATTATATTATAGAAGAAATTAATTAAAAAATATAGCAGTAAATTACTTTAGAAAAATATAGATAACTATAAAGAAGATTGCAAAAACTTAAGTATTAATGTTTTTTTTTTTATAAAAGTATTTTTACTTGCTTGTAAGGCCATAAATAAGAAAAAAATAGGATAATTTAACTAAAATTATATTATAAGCATCTTAAGATGAAAGTAAAGAGTAGTGTTTAGCAAAAATACCTAAAAAATCCTTAAATTGATGTCCAAAGAAGGCTAATTGTGAATTTGGATCAAAACAAGATCTTAAGGCTCAAAATTGTACATCCATAGCAAATATGGAGTCTTTTTGTTGAATAAAAAATGAGATTGGAGAAGAAACTTGTTAAAGTTTTTTAAATATTGGTTTAAAGGATTTGAGTAGAATTGACTTTGTGAGAGCTTTGTAATGTCAAGGTTTTTTTGGACGACTCTAGATTTTGTGAAGTAAAAAAATGATTTATACTTTTGAAAATTTTATAATTTTTTTTATAGACCTATCAGTGAAAATTTGTAGGTTTGTGAAAATAATTGTGTTAGATTTGTATTGTAAATTTTAACTTGATTGGATGGTTATATCAAAGGTTATTGAAATTCAAGTAGGTCAAGATCTCAAAAATTAGATTTTGAAGGTTAGTGAAGATTTTTATGATTTTGAAAAAAAATTAAGTTAGATATAAATGATTATTTATAAATTCACATAGTTAACTTATTTTTAATATCTAAATAATTTTTATAGCAAATAAATGATACAAAAAAAATATTAATTTTAAAAGATTGAAATTAAAATTAGAGAAGGAGAATAACCTATACCTAAGCAACTGAAGAGTTTTTTCTTTCATTTATAAGGTTTAAGTTTCTTTAAATTTTACATTCTTGATTTTAATTAGTAGATTAAAATTTTTATAAATTTTGAATAAAGATTAATGGTTAAACTAATAATTATTGAGGTTTTAAATTTTATTAAATTTTAATTAGAATTTTTTAGAATTTTCTTCAGATTTGATTAAGCTTTAATTAGAATTTACTTAAAAATTCATTAAAGTTCAATTATAAGTTATTTTGGATAATTTTAAGATCTCTTGTAATTCTCTTGTACTATGTGTTCTTTCACTTTCTTGGTTGATTTGTTTTGGTGCTATATGCACATGACTTACTCCTTTGGCTTTCAAGTAGCATCTCTTTTTTTTTATGTTTTTTATCATCAAGGTATCAGTAAAAGCTTGATTAACTTTCATCTTCTTTTCAAATATATATATATATATATATATATATATATATTTTCTTTCATGAGTCTTGAAAAAATTCTTTTAGCTTCATCAAGGATAAAAACTTATCTTTCTATCTTGAATTTTTTGAAGAATCCTTAAAATCTTTTGAGTTGGCTATCTTTTGTGATTTTTGGTTTCTTCCTTCTCTTTCACACTTTTCTTCTAGTCTTGAAGAATATTAAGCTTCTTAAAAGCTTTAAAATTTTTTCTCTTGATTTCCTTCATTTTTCTGTTTAATTTATCTTCAAGAATAAGAAACTCTTCTATTTGAGCCTTCTTCTTAACTAACATTTTTTTTATTTTTTATCTTAGAGTCTTTTAGCTTACTTGCACTTCTTATGAAATATTGCCTTTATAGATCTCATCATTAATTCATTGAAAACTTGCTTATGTTGTATTTTTCACTATTTATTATATATATATATATTTTGATCAAAATCTAATTTTCTTCCAAGTTGGCTCTCTAATTCCAGTCTTAATTGGCTTTAATACTCCTTATTACAATCACAATTAGAGTTGAATGTCTTCCACCTGAAAAGCAAATGTAAAATTATTAATTAATCTCTTAAAGTCAATTTCCAATCTAAAACATGTCCATTTAAGATGAGGAAAAAATCCACTCATAATACTTATAAGAGCCGCAATTATGTAGTGATGCAATTGAATTACTTTTGGATGCAATTTGGCATAGTTAGAAATTAATTTAGCCACAAAATGGACCTTTAAGGATTTTGGTGCTATTTCATGATTTATCTTAATGCCTAAGGTCTTGAAACTAATTCCAAGTACATTTTTGCACCTGAGACAAATCTAACCTAACTACAATTTAGCATTGAGCCAAGCCTCTATATAGGTTGTGTTTTAGGACAATGTAGCACCATTTTATAATACTTTTGCTACTTGCTTTGGCATTGTTGTGTTGTAATATCACTATATGATAAAAAATGAAAAATATGGTTTCTATTATAAAAGTTTTCAATTAAAAAATATAATAAAAAAACATAGATAAAAAATAAGATGGTAATAAAAACTTTTAGTGTTAATACTGCTATTATATAAAAAAGACTTCTACTTAATTTGTATGATTATAAATAGAAAAAAAAGTAAATTGAAATAATAATTAATATAAGTATTTTATGAAAGATTTAAGAATAGTTTATAGCATAAACTATCTTAAAAAACCAAGACTTGATACTCAAAGAAGATTGGTTGTAAATTAAAATTGTAATCAAACCTTAAGGCACAAAATTTTGTATGTATAGAAAATTTGAAGTTTTTTTTGCTAATTGAAAAGCAAGGTTAGAGATAAGACTTTAAGAGAATTTTTTAG